TTTGATCCAGTCTGCACTTCATGCCACACGAGTAGGACCTCGTAATAACAATTTGTACAATGTATTGGCGACTGAGAATGTGTATGAGTTGAGCCATGGGTCACAGCATTTTCACATCCCAGTACGCCTCAAAGGCAAAAGACAGCACAAAGACATAGTTGCAATGGTGGACAGCGGAGCCACCATGAAGTTTATCAACAAGCATTTCATCATGGAGAATCAAGTACAAACACAGAAATTGAAGGAACCAATCCTGCATTACAATATCAATGGAACACTCAACAAAGATGGAAGCTGATACAACGGTCTATACTCCTATATTGATGCCTGACTCGTAGACAACGAGCGAGGACTTATGGACAGTGCGTCGTCCTGAAGATCGAGCGAGGAAGTCGAGAATGACCACTACCCCAAGCGAGGAGGAGCAGAGACTTGAATGAATAACCAGGTCGAACTTAGGGTTCGACCGACTAATGGTACAACTACTTATACAAGTACCGACTGCGCACGGACCATTGTGTCTATGTGGTCGTGTTAGTGAAGAAAGAAACGTAGTGGTACGATGCTGAGTACGAAGTGCGCACGGACCCCATTATGTAAGCTACATAATGTTCAACCTGCGGGTGAGCGCTAAGACCGGCGCCAGTATGGGCGCTAGTAGTACAAGGAATAGAACGGAAAGACAAATGTTTCATTACCCCCCTACCAGAGTCGAAGTCCCATTCGACTACTTACTGCTCACCATCTCCGTACAACTCCCAATCTACGCCGTTGTCCTCCTCTTCGTCGAACCACTCCTTGTGTGCGTTCCTCCCTACGTTCATCCATTCTTCGCCAGAGAGGTGCTTCTGATTCGGCCAGGAGCTGTCCCACGTCCATTGAGTGGTGTCCGGTGTCCAGTCGGGATCGACTTTGCGAAAGACGACGGGTGTATCGGGGCGGGGGCGCGAAGGTCCTGCGACGGGACTGGTCGGGGGTTCGGGGTTAGCGCTGCGCGGTGGAGGAATAGGTACCGCTTTCGTCTGCCTTTCTTTCTCCTTCCTCTCCTTCGCCTCGTTGATGATTTCCTCGAGGAACACGTTGTCGACGACCACCCCCACGCGTCGCGCAGGTTCTTCAGGTGGTGCGGATACATGTCGCTTCATCGGCTTGGTTCCGCACTCTCGCTCCAGGTGTCCAGGGGCTTCTTTTCCGCAGCCTGCGCATCGTACGTCCGGACAGTCCCGTACCCAGTGTCGAGACGATCCGCATCGCCTGCAGCTTCCCTTCGGGGTCCAACCAGGGTTGGGTTGCCAGTCAGCCGGGATGGTAGTGCTCCGCGGCGTTGCTTGGAGGAAAGGGGATGGGATCGGGGGGCGCCTGAAGGCAGACGTCGGTAGGGGTGCGGGTAGGGGTAGGTACGCATTGGGGATGGCGCGTGGGATGAATTTGTTGTGTCGCGCCCAGATGTTGCATGGTAGGAGCGGTTGAAAGCGATGGGCAACCTTCAGATTGTCGAGCCGGATGAGCTCAGTGAGGACGCAGTCGTCCTGTTGGCGTAGGAGCCGCTTGTGGTGGTCGATGGCCTCGTCGGCTGCCTTGACAGCCTCGTCGTATTCGCGGCGGGCGGAGAGATACGCCTCTAGTGCAGCGCGGTCGGTGGCATTGGTTGCCTCGGGGTTGTGGGCTTTGAGCTTGTTGAAGACGTCGGTGGGGTTACTGAGAAGGAGCGTCAGCAAGGTGCTGTCGCCGACGTGGGTGTGCTTAGGGGTGTAGATTGAGAGCCTTTTCCCGCCTTCGGTTGAGGGGGCGTTGAACTGGTCGAGGAACGAGAGGGTGGAAGACATTCTGGTGCGAGTGGGGATGTAGCGACTGGGTAGAGCTGCTATCGATTCAGCTCAAGTCCTTCCTGTTCTTATACTCTGCCAACACTTCGTCGGCCGTTCCAGTCAGGTTCGCTTCGGGCTCCCATGAGTCATCGGCAGTTGAGTAACCCTTCCACCTGACACGATATTCGCGGCGCCGCATCCTCTTATTCTCTCGGTGTCCGATGATGGCTTCGACTTCGTAGTTATCTTCGCCCTCGATAAGGTCAGGAGGTGGCCTCGTGTAGTTCGGACCATGGATCTCCGTTTCTGAATAAGGGGATAGAAGCCATTCGTGGAAAACGGGGTGGACTCGCCAGGTGCTAGGCAAGTCTAGCTTGTACGCGACCGTTCCAATCTTGTCTAGGACTTTGAACGGTCCTTCCCGCCTCGGGGCTAGTTTCCTGGATGCGTACGGCAGCTTCAAGTTCCGGGAATCTAGCCATACCAGCTGACCTTTACGGAAGGAACCCCCCTTCCTTTTTACTCTCTTGGCCAGGACATTCTGGGCCATCTCCATTGCCGCATGTGCTTCCTCACGGATGTTTTGCAAGTCCTTGAGGCGATAAGCTGCTTGGGGCGTGTTTGATCCAGGGTGCGCGGTGGGTATTCCACGAGGTTCGTATCCCATCATGAGTTTGAACGGGGACGCCTTCGTCGTGGAGTGCTCGCGGGCGTTGTGAGCAAATTGCGCAGTGTGAAGATGGTCAGCCCACTTATCCGGGTCATTGGCAGTGAAGCAGCGGAGGTAGATCTCCAGCTCTTGGTTCACTCGTTCTGTCTCGCCGTCGGTTTGCGGATGGAATGCTGTACTCATGGCTGATTGAACCCCAGTCATTTTGCAAAGTTCTTGGAAGGCTTTGGACGCAAATTGCGGTCCTCGGTCACTGATGATCTTGTCTGGGAGTCCAAACCACTTGTAGACCTCTCGGTACATTGCGTCTGCCGTCCCAAGAGCATCAATTGTTTTGTTGCATGGGATGAAAATTACCCCCTTTGTAAGGTCGTGGTCCACTACGACCAGAATTGAATCGAAGCCGTTGGACGGTGGCAAGTCGGTGATGTAATCGCACGAGGATGTGCTGAAGGGCTTGGCATTTGCGCGGGGTCGAATGGGGGTGATGGGCGGTCGGGCTGGATGCGTGTTAACCTTCATTTGCTGGCAGATGCCACAGCTGTTAACATAGCGGGCAACAAACTGGGCCATGCTCGGCCACCAGTAGTCACGGCGCAAGCCGAGGAGGGTTTTCTGAACACCGGGGTGTCCTGCGGAGGGGAGGTCGTGATAGTGGGAGACAAGACGTTTGCGAAGAGACTCATCTGGGGGTACATAGACCCGATCCTGGTATAGGAGGAGGTCATCATTGATGGACCAGTCTGTTCCAGTGCGCGGTGTTCCTCCAGTGCGCGCCGCAGTGAGGCCTTCCTTCATTATTGGGTCGTTCTGAAAGGAAAGGATGGTGTCGTGGGTGTCGATGTCGATGGCAGCGACCCATACTTCCGGTGGGAGCATCACGACGTCAGTGTTGTCATTTGAGCCGTCGTCATGGTCGGGTCGGCGGGAGAGGGCGTCGCTCTGCACCATTTGGGTACCAGGAACGTGCACCAGGCAGAAGTCAAACTCGGTCAGTTTACTCGCCCAGCGTGCTTGTCGTCGGTTCATGTCTTTGGCTTGCTTCCAGTATGTGAGGTTCTTGTGGTTGCTGAGAATCATCACTGGGTATTGGCTGCCAATGAGGTAGTGCCTCCACTTATCTAGTGCGTGGATGACCACATATAACTCTCTGTCGTAGATGTCATAGTTTCTCTCTGCTGCATTGAAGCTTTGAGAGAGGTATCCGCAAGGATGCCGGTTGCCGTTGTCGTCACGCTGGCGTAGTACTGCTCCGGTTGCAAACTTGGAGGCGTCTGTTTCGATAGCGAAGGGTCAGTCGGGATCCGGCATGTGTAGTATCGGTTCTTCTAGGAATGCCTTTTTGAGGGTCTCGAAGGCTTTCTGTTGGTCAGATCCCCAGGTCCAGGCGACATCCTTCTGGGTGAGAGCGACCAGCGGTTGCGCTTTGTCCGAGAAGCCTTTGATGAACCGGCGGTAAAAGTTTCCAAATCCAACGAAGGCGCGTACTTGCCTGAGGTTGGACGGCACCGGCCAGTCTGCAATGCCAGCTAGTTTGACAGGGTCCATTGCGATTTCTCCTGGGCAGATGATCATGCTGAGGAATTCGACTTCGGTGACGTCAAAGGCACATTTCTCCGGTTTGAGGTAGAGGTCATGTTGTCGAAGTCGTTCGATAACACGTCGTGTTCGTTCTTCGTGTTCTGCCTTGTCCTGGGAAAAGATCAGGATGTCGTCCATGTAAATGCAGAGCCAGCCTTCTTGAAGCATGTCTGCGAATATTGTGTTCATCATCCACTGGAACATAGCGGGGGAATTACATAGCCCAAAGAACATCACCGTTGGTTCGTACAGCTGCGGCGGTTTGCCATCAGTTCCGGGTACAATGAACGCTGCCTTCCATTCGTCCCCTTTCTTGATTCGGACGTTGTTGTATCCGGCACGGAGGTCCATCTTCGTGAACACCTTGGCGTGCTTCAACTTGTCGAGGAGGTCCGATATAAGCGGGAGCGGGTATCGATCCTTGACCGTGTTCTCGTTGAGCAGCCGGTAGTCTTGACAGGGACGTAGTGAACCGTCCTTTTTACCAACAAAGAAGAATGGACTTGCCAACGGGGATTTCGAAGGGCGAATGTACCCTTTACTTAGGTTCTCCTCGAGGAACTTGTCAAGTTCCTTTCGTTGCTGCGGGTTGAGCGGATAGACCTGTTGCTTCATGTCCGCAAAGCCCTCCTTGAGGTTGATTTCGTGGTCATATTCGGTGTGGTCTGGAAGTCGCGCAGCAGTGCCTTTGTCGAAGACGGGGAGGAGATCATGTAGGTAGGATGGTACCATCTGTGGTAGTGTTTTTTCTGTCTTGCCTTGGGCGTTCGAGGCTGCAAGTTCGGTGGAAGTGGTGATGCGCCTAATGTCGTGGTGGATCTTCCAGATCATGCCATTGTGAAGTCGTTTGTAGCCAGATGAAAGTTCAGGGAGTCACTCCTTGAGCGGAACATCCCTCACTGCCAGGGGTTCCTGTTTCTCGTACTTGGTGATCATCGGTGTTCCAGATAAGTAGGAAATGATGAACTCATCATCGTCAATGTCCTCCGCTTGTTCCTCGATGGATGCAATACCCGTTGACCCAAACCCATCCTCCCCGTGTTCTGTTTCGTCAATGTAGTCGGTTAGCATTACTGGTGGAGTGCTTATCCTTTCAAGGATGAGCTGAGCAACTCGGTCGCCGGCTTTGACAGTGAATGGTAGGTCAGAGTTATTGACCAGCAGGACTGAGACCTTGCCTCGGTAATCGGAGTTGATTACTCCTGCAGCAACATCGATTTCTTTTAGCGCTAGACCGGACCGAGGTGCGATTCTTCCGTAGTGTCCTTTGGGGATAGCCATGATGAGGTCAGTGCCGACCAGGCCTCGTCGTTGGGCGGGGATGATGAGGTCGTGTGCAGCAGAGATGTCATATCCTGCTGTGCCG